AGTTAAGAGAAAGAGTAGATCAGAGAAGGCTGAAGCGGTCACAGCAGTGGCACCTGAACTGGGTCCTCAGTGATGGGTAAGATTTGAAGATATTTAAGGAGAGGAAAACAGAGGAGTGAGGTACACACACCACACATCCCAGGATAGCCTGGCTGGGCCAAGAAGGATGTCACAGCCACGTGGGTACCAGACAGGCTGCTTCTGACTTTCTTACTGGGTCCCCCAAATCTGCCCACAACTACCCCCACCCCTGTCAGTGGTAAGGTAACTACTGTAGTAATAGAAAAATGAGGTTGACTCTACCTAAAGGTGTCTGCTTGTCCGTGGCCTGCATCCCTGCCCATTTCTGTTTGTTATTCCTGTGCTGGGCCTGGGCAAACTTGTGAAGTATATGAAGTGTTTCCTTGGGGGTCCTGCTGCTTCCCTTTTGGGGTACACTTGCCCATCCCCAGAAGGGAACATAACTGCCTATGTTATAATAATCTACCCTTTCCGGTCTGCCCTCTGACTCTCACATCCCCACCCCATCCCACCCTTCCTGCCTCCGTTTAGCAGAGCTTATGGAGCGCCATGTTAGGCACCGAAGCCAATTCAGAAGAAATGTCAGAGGGTGCTGGGAGAAGCTGCTGCAGTTACAGACCTGTGCCTTCGTGCCAGGAGAGAGGAGGCAGGGCGGTCTCGGCAGCTGTGGTATCTCTGCAGCTACCACTCTCCCCTAGTTCAACTTTTGTTCCAACCCAGTGCCTGGGGTGAAGGTGGGTTCTCCGCAGCCTTCACAAAGAATTGTGGAGCTTCTGGGTTCCCCTTCGCCACTCCCCTCTTTGGCAGTTCCCGGCACAAGTGGAGTAGGCAGTGGAATGGGCACCATCAGGGATGTGTCTCCCCAAAACCCTCCACAGCATCACATGGCCCCCGGGTGCTGCATCTCCCTACACCAGGCCTGAAACGGGGCTTTGATAAGATGGAGGGGGAAGGGAGTTCCAAAAGGATACAGGGACAAAGTTGGAGAGGAGGAATAATAGTAGCAAACCTTTGTTGGACATTTGCTGTATGCCTGCTTTGGGGTGCTAAGTACTTGGTATTAACTCATTGATGCTCATGGCAGCCCTATGGGGAGGTGCTATGATTAGTATTATTCCCATTTATGGAGGAAGAAACAGGTAAGTTTAGAGGCTGGCCAGGACCACACAGACACAGGTAGAACTGGCATTGGAACTGACACAGTGTCACTCCAGAACTCCTGTCTTAACTACTCTGTCATGTCTCTTCCCAGCTTGGGCACATAACTTTATGTGCATAACCTGAGTTGCGAAAGGGAGACAGACAGCAGCCCCAGCCTCACCCTGCAGATCCTGATTCAGCTGGTCTAAGTGTTGCCTGAACATTCACATTTTTTAAAAGGTCCACAGGGAATTCCAGTGTGCAGCCAGGGTTGAGAACCACTGATCTAAACCAATCCACCCCCAGGCCGTGCGCAGTGGCTCATACCTGTAATCCTAGCACTCTGGAAAGCCAAGGCGGGAGGATCGCTTGAGGTCAGCCTGAGCAAGAGCGAGACCCTGTCTCTACTAAAAATAGAAAAACTTAGCCAAGCATCATGGTGTGCACCTGTAGTCCCAGCTACATGGGAGACTAAGGCAGGAGGATGGCTTGAGCCTAGAAAGTTTGAGGTTGCAGTGAGCTAAGATGACACCACTGCACTCTAGCCAGGGAATCAGAGTGACACTCTGTCTCAAAAAATAAATAAATAAATATAAATAAACCAATCCACTCTCAATAGCATCCACTAGTTTGCCAGCTAGTGAACAGCTGCACCCTAGAGAGCAAGCTGAGACTGTGACCATGAGTGTGCAAGGGATCCCTGCAAGGACACATTCTGGCACGTGTGGTGAGAGGGAGCTCTGGAAGAATTTAACTGGCAGAAGGAGGAGACGCTGGATATAATTTGGGGGCCCCCTTTCATAGCTCTGCCTTAGGCCTGTTCTGCTTTGAAAGATTCCAGCCAGATACCAAACGGTCCCTTCCTCAGCAAGTGAGGAAAGCTTAACATACTACACGAGATGGTCTCGAATTATTAGCAGAGCAACTTAGCAATAGCTAAAAATGAACTGAGGCAAACTAAGTCCCCTCAGACCAGGAAGAAGGCCCACCAGGACGAGATGTTGGGAAGACAGTTTTGAGCCAGATTTGGAAAGCTGAGCATAGTGTGGCTGGAGGAGAAAAGAGAGGAATGCATCTGCAGTGTGAAGAGTGAGATGTGAGCAAATGTGTGGAAAGTAGAATGGTTAGGTCTGGTAGAGGGAAGAGGGCAAGGTAAAGTCTTCCAGAGCAGAGACTTTGCTGGAGAGGGATAGCATGGAGAGCCGGGAGACGAGGGCAGGGGTGAGACGGTGGGGAAAGCCCAGCTGCAGGAGTCTACAGGCTCTGCCAGGAGGCCTGGGTTTGCTCTGATCAGCATAGGGGTCCGCTCTGGTACTGGCGAGCACTGAATGGGAGGCAAAGGAAAGAACTGGGCACCCACACTGCCTGATGCAGGGCCTAGTGAAGCACCAGCTGATTCTGAGACTGGCACATACCTCCGAGATGGCCCCAGAAAAGGGTCTTCCAGATGAGTCCCCGTGTTGCCAGGCCAGGGAGTATCCCTTACTCAGAACTCGTAGAGCAGCGCTGTCCAGTAGAACTTTCACTGATGTCGGAAATGTTCCATATCTGTGCTTTCCACTATGGTAGCCACTAGACACACGTGGCCATTGAGCACTTGGCCCGCGGCTAGCGCAACTGAGGAAGTGAATTTTAAATTAATTGAAATGTAAATACGGTGGTGAGTGGCTACTGTATTGGACACACCGTCCTACGGCATCTGTTGCCTGACCAGTGATTTCATACTTACCATCTCAAGCTTCCTGTACTGGGAACCTTCTCTTTACTAGATATTTTATTAGGCACTTTACACAAATGATCTCATTAACTGCTCACAGCCTCTCATGAGGAGGTATTATGAGCCCCATTTTAAAGGGGAGGAGATAGAGAAAAAGAAAAGCCTCCCCAGAGAGTGGTAGAGCTGGATTTGAATCCGGGACTGTCTGGTTCCAGTGCTTATGATTTTTCTATTATAGGACATTTCTTCGTACCGTTTTCTCTTCACCAACTGGACAAACTGATTCTCCATGCAGCCTCTTGCCATCTACGAGGTCCCCCTTGCTCACACCTATGAACTAGTCTTACATGCCCTCTCTTTGTTCTCTCACTTTGGGATGACTTCCCAAATGGGCCAGCTGGGGGACACCACGACCACAGAGCCTGAGCGAGGTGGAGAGTAAGTGAGGACAAAGGCTCCCGGCACGCGGGATCACTGGGCTGGTGGCTGGCTGCAGAGGACCGGAAGAGTCAAAGCGTGTACAGTGCAGAGCTGAATGGAAGCCTGTGAGACCTGAGGCAGCATGTCTGGGGACACTCTTTCAGATTTGAGTTCCCTTTTAGCCCCAGAAAGCTTCAGACCTGCCCCTAAGTTCTTCTTGAAGTATAAAAGCAGAGAACAGATAACTATTTCAAGCTAGAACTCATGGGTATCTATAAATTGGAGAGATTACTGGTCCACTCAGCATTCATTCAGTGAAAGTATATCAGGCACCTTAAGGATTTGGATTCAATAAGGCTAAAAGGCCTGAGAATCTGCTTTTTAACAAAACCCAGGCAATTCTATAGCCCATAGATCGCACTTGGAAGTCAGATTGTCCTGGTCTCAAATCTCATCCCTTTTACTTGCAGGTTGCTACTAATATAGTGTCTTGAGTTTCCCAGTGCACAGCTATAAGCAATCTCTTCCCCCTCTGATCTTCCCTGCGACACAGGTTCTCAGCCCGGGCTGCACATTGGAATAACCAGGAGAGTTTAGACAAATGCTGATGGCCAGGACCCAGCCCGGGGTAGCTGACCGGAATCTCCAGCGTGGGGTCGACACTGACGTGCAGGCCTGCACAGGGACCCCTCCCTTCATCTCTGATGCCTTCAGGGCATGCGCCACAGCCCGCTTCGTGTTTCTTGTCTCTCCTTTTGGCTGGGCTGCGTTACCTTCAAGCCTCCACTGCCCTCAGTGTCGTGCCTGTCACAAACACACTGAATAAAGCATTTTCAATGGAATGAAACATTTTCCCCTATTTCAGTTCAGCTTTATGGGCACCATAATATTGCCCCAGAAGTCAGAACCTTTTGCCCAAAGACTCTTTTCTATGTCCTTTTTTAACCATCCTCGTTTGTGCTGGATCTTGAGTGGCCTCTTCCTTTAGTGTAGCTCTGTATGCAGCACCTCTTGTTAGAGCAAGGGCCAGGAGAGAGAGTAGCACTTGGGATCAGAGCCCCACGGGCTGCACTCACCAGGCTTCAGGTAGCTGGTGCCAACCCCTGCCAGCTCCTGATGCCCCCACTGTTGGCAGCACAGGGGCCGAGGAGAATCACCCGGGCTGGAACTCCTTTCTTCTAAAGCTTCTTGGCACAGTGGTAGGCAAGCGGGAGCAGGCCCGTCTCAAGCAGAATCATGAGGCAGATGAGGATACTTCACATGCTAAGTCCCCTCTCTTCCTCCTTTAACTACCAATGGCCACTGTCCCCATGCCTTTTCCCTTCCCCTCCCTCTAAGCCTGCTCCTAAAAAAGGTAAACTAATTCACACTAGGTCGATTATTTCAAATCAAGTGTGCTACTCTGTCCAAGGGCTTTTTGTTTGTTTTTAAATCAAAGAGGAGTGTTTCGAATGATGGAGTCATTATAGCTGTCATTATAGATTAAGTATTTTTGAGGGGAGCGGAGGTTCTTTCTGAATTTCTGGAATTACAGAGTCTATCCACTCTGAAATCAGAGGGACGTGGGAGAGCACCTGTTTCTGCAGGAGTCGCCGCCTCTGTTTTAGAGAAGAGGGGATTTCGCCCTTGGGAACCCACTTTCAAGGTACCCCTTGAGAGGCACCGACAGCGATTCTTACGTGGCCCCCTCTACCCCTGCCAGATGTGGACGAGTGTGTGGAGGGAACTGACAACTGTCACATCGATGCTATCTGCCAGAACACCCCACGGTCATACAAGTGCATCTGCAAGTCTGGCTACACAGGGGATGGCAAACACTGCAAAGGTGAGGCTGGGAGGGGGCCTGGAGAAGGGGAAACCAGTGCCACTGCCCTCCGTCTGTGCATCAGACGGTGCATCGCACCAAGACTGGAAATGCCCACGGGCCAAGGGTGGGTAGCTGCATCTTCCTAGAGGGGGCACCATTTTCTAATTTGCGCAAAGGCTCCCTGCAGGCTAGCGGAGGCCTTGGTGGTGATAGTTCACAGCCCAGAACCAGCTGGGTGGGAGCACCGGGATCATGGAACCAAGGCCTGAGGTTCCCTGGCGTTGATACCTCCATCTTTAGACCCTCACACTATCTCCCACAAAGGATGGAAACAAAGAGTGGGCCCCCGGGGAAAATTCATACCGTAAACACGCACATCTTGCCCTCATAATTAATGTAATGCAAATTAAAGTAGCCTTGAGATATTATTTTACATTTATGAACTTCGGTGTTGGTAAGACTTCAGTGGACTAGGTGCACTAATTAGTTCCTGGTCACATCATAAATTGAAAAGTAATTTTGTAATACCTACCAGGAATCTTAAAAGGTATTTATACCACTTGACCCGGGAATTTTACTCTTGGGGAATTATTCAAAGGTAATTCAAAGAAACAAAATAATATATGGGTGAAGTTGTCCTTTAATGATTATCTATGATAGTAAAATAAACGAAAGAAATCTAAGTGCCTAACAGAGAAAAAGAGTTATGAGAATAGAGAAATAAGTTATGATATTCTGCAGCCACGCACAGCGGTGATGAGAAAGACCGGATGGAGACATGTGAAAATGTTTATGATTTAGGTTTAGATGAAAATAGCAAAACACAAAATGGTTTGTAACACACACACACACACACACACACACACACGCTTGTATTTTTTGAAAAAGCAGCCACAAGGCTGAGCCCAGGGGTGGACAGTGCGTTTGCTGGGTTCCCAGGTGGGTTCCGGCCCTGGTCACAGCTTCTCTTTGTCCACAGATGTGGATGAGTGTGAGCGAGAGGATAATGCAGGTTGTGTGCATGACTGCGTCAACATCCCTGGCAATTACCGATGCACCTGCTACGACGGATTCCACCTGGCACATGATGGACACAACTGTCTGGGTGAGCAAGGGAGCGCGGATTTGGTAGGGGGACGTCTTGTGGGGAAAGGGGTCTTCTCAGCATCTCCTATGTCCCAGGCAAGGAGGGAAAAGTGCTCCATTCCTACAAGAGAACAAGGTCAGCCTCCCCTTTGAGACTGGCCACTAAGGATGAAATAATCCTTCTGCTGAGTGAAAAACATCAGAGGAGAAGCTGCTACAAATGCTCCCAGGGCAAGGGCCGGGAGATGAGAACAGTGGGTGTAGCCAGTGAGTGAAGCGTGGTGAGAAGATGACTTGGCTGCAGACAGATCCTGGTTCTGCTGCTTACCGACTGGGGCTTGGGCAAACCAGCTACTCTCTGGGAATCTCAGCTTCCTCATGCCTAAAATGAGGATGGTAATAACCCACTCGGAGGCTGCTGGGTGGACCACCATGAGAGAACATGTGTAAAGAGCCCTGTACAATCCTTAGCACATAGTAGGTGCTCGGTAAGTGGGAGGGATGTTGTTGATGACGACGATGCTTCTCCGTGCCCCAGGGAACCTCTGACCGTTACAGGCCAGTTTTCTCCCAGCTCTTCCTGCAACCTCCAGTCCCACCTTCTCCTCACTTCTGAGACCTCAACCTGACCTGATCTCTTTTGTCCCGGGAGCTGGATCAGAGATAGGAGAATCTCTAGGGAACTGAACTCAACTTTGGTCTCTGTCATTTTGGAAAATGACTCGGGCCAAGTCAGATTCTTCCTCAGGTAGAAAAATTTGAAGCCCATGGCAGCAACGGATTTGAGATTTGAACCCACGAGTCCTCTCCCAAACTCCTTCTGGTGCGAAAACAGAAATAGGGCACTGGAAGCACAGAGGACCAGGAAAGGAAGAGAAGCAAGATGAATGATGCCCAGAAAACAGGCTAGGCTGGTCCTAACCCCCTACCTCACCAAGCGGATGAATTCTCTGAGGTCCCACTGGCCAAGGAAAGCCTCCTTACTGCAGAGCTGCCTCCAATCCCTCTCCGTGAACCAGGCTGCAGGTTTCTTCTCCCAGCCCAGGCCTCCACACGCTGACCCCTGCTGGGCCCTTACCCCCAGCCCTGGCCACCTCTCCTACCACTTTAGCTACTAGGGAAGGGCCTCATTTCTCATCTGCCCATTCGCCCTTGAGGAACTTTTTTAGGACTCCTTTGGGAAGAGAAGCTGTGACACTTGGACCAGGACAGTGAGTTGCCTGCAGGACTGATAACATGAGCTTCTGAGTTCTTTGGCAGCCTTTGACCTTTCTAGGCCCCTGATTCTCACCAAGTCTAGTTTCCCTATAAGTGTTCTGGGGAGAACCAAGCAGAGGGACAAGAGAGGGCCAGGGGAGCAAAAGTCTCCCTAGGGTTAGGGTTCAAAGCCTCAACCCTACCTTTGGTTCATGGGGGAACCTTGAGAAAGTTGTCCATGCCCTGGGCCTCAGTTTCCCCACTGAGAATTGGAGGAAAGAGCTTGACTAGAGTAGCAAAGCCACAAGGTTAGAATAGAAGGGAGCAAATAGGAGGATGGAATGTAGGATGAGACGAGCACAGGAAGATCAGGATGGGGAAAAGTCAAGAGTATAGCAAGAGATGGGCAGAGACAGGAACAAAGCAGAGGAAAGTACACCTACTTAGCTCTTCCAACAGGTGTATCTCTCCAACAAGAGCCAGCTGGATCTGGGTCCCTCTGCCCTTGGTCAGAAGGGGCAGGGAGGGTTTCAGGGGCTCGGCAGAGAGGATGGGAAGGGACGGGCAGAAGAGGCCCTCAGGAGCCCAGATTCTAGCTGCTCCCTTTGGCAAACAATTTCCCTGATGCCTCCGGACCAAGGCAAGCTGAGAAGGGCTGTGGACTTGGGAGGGCGGTAGCTAGCACAAAGATGGAGTCAAGGCGTTGAAGTGGGAGCTCCAGGGTGAGCTTGGCTCTGGGACCTGGGGCTGGTGATTTTGGGGTGAGAGCCTACTGTTCCACTTCCCCCATCTAGGGCGTGGCCTGGCAGCTCTCCCCAGATCCCTCCCCACCAAGCTGCCAGACTGTGTTTTGTTAAACCAAAATAGGAGAAAGGCTAGGAAATATGGCAGCAAGCCCAGGCATGGGGGGAAGGGGAGGAAGGACGGGGCCATGGCCTGTCCACAGAAATGGTCCCTGCCCCACAAGGAGTTGAGGCTCAGCTGCCCTTACCCACCCTGCCCCTCCTAGCTCAGCACCATGGCCATGGCTCTCCCTGCACACGGAGCCATTTCCCAGGTCTCTGGATTCCCTGGCCGCTAATCACAATGAGCTGCCACCCCCACTAACCTCTCCCTGACCAATCTAAGCAAGCTCCATCCTTATCTTCATCCCTGTTCCTCTTCCTCTGGCTCCTTTGCTGATTTCCTCTGCCCTCAGACCCAGTTTCCACAGGTGAGGGAAAGGGAGGCAAGTCTTCACCCAGGTGAGCCAGGTTCAGATGTACCCCTGTCCTCTACTTGCTTAGCTCCCCAGCTCTGTCCTCAGGGTGGCTCTTCTCATCCAGTGCAATATCTGTGCAGAATGTATTCAGGGAAAAAAACAAACAAAACAAACAAAAAAGAAACATCCAGTGGAATAGTAGCTGACCATGGGGTGAGAACTGCCTGGCCCAAGGCTGGGCTTGGGAGGTGGGGGTGAGTGTCTCGGCCTTTGGTGCGAAAGTCCCAGGCATGCCCTGGACCCTGGCCTGCACCCATGGCCCCACCCGTCCTGCACAGATGTGGATGAGTGTGCCGAGGGCAATGGCGGCTGTCAGCAGAGCTGTATCAACATGATGGGCAGCTACGAGTGCCACTGCCGGGAAGGCTTCTTCCTCAGCGACAACCAGCACACCTGCATCCAGCGGCCAGAAGGTCAGCCCGTGACCTGGGAGGGCCCTGTCCCTGCCCTCCCCAGGCTTCTCTTCCCAGCTGTCCCTCAGCACCCCCTAAGTCTTACCCTCTGTTCTCAACTCTGCTAGCTCCATTTTCTCTTGTCCCCCAACTCAATCACAACCTAAGGGCCCATGGACACACACTGTATTAGAGCAAAATCTGCAGGAATTAATTTGGGGTCAGGCTCAGTATGGGATTGAGGCTACTATGGGGTGTCCTCTGTGTCCAGACCTGAGGTGGATATTATTCCTAATATCAATGGCTGAGTTGTGGGTGGCTGAGTTTGTCTAAGTTGCTGCTTATCCGAAAGGGCCTCATCAACGCCTTCTACCTGGGATTGGATTGGGAGGCTCAGGCAGGAACAGTGGGGTATATGTTACCTGTTTCTGTGACTCACCCCTGACCCCGACTAGACTGTGACATCTCTGAGGGCAGGGACTATGTCTAATTCATCTTTGTATCCCCAGCACCTAACAAACTGCCCTGCATGTAGTGAGAGCTTAATAAATGTTGAATAAAATTGCATAGTAACTGTCTATACCAATTACTCCCACTCACATTATAGATCTGGTTGTTATTTATCTTCTTCCTAGTTTGACTCTAAGCTCTTTGAGGGAAGAGATCATGTCTTATCTTTTTCTGGATCCTTCCTAAATCCACCCATTCCCTAGCACAGTGCCAGGCACCTACTAGACACTATTTTTTGGTTGTTTGAAGGAGAGTGTGACCGTGCAGGTTTTCTCTGGGATGGGTATCAGCACCTATCATTGAGAATTGTTCTGTGCTCTGCTCATAGCACCCAGCTCTGTGGGCAAGACAGGAGACCTGTGACAGGGAGAGTCGGTGCCCTCCCGGTGTTACCACCCCAAGTGGAATTCTCCCGATTTCCTAGGCCCCCCTTTCCCCTTAGAGTTCCTCCTCTAGGCATCCAGGGGTATAAAGCATTCACCCCCTTCCTTTTCCCTTTTAGAAGGAATGAATTGCATGAACAAGAACCACGGCTGTGCCCACATTTGCCGGGAGACACCCAAGGGGGGTATTGCCTGTGAATGCCGCCCTGGCTTCGAGCTCACCAAGAACCAACGGGACTGTAAATGTGAGACAACGGGGATGGCAGTGGGGGAAAAGGAAAACAAAGGGGAGGGGTGTGGGGCCTCAGCAGCAAGAAGACAGGGCTGGGAGGAAAAGGGAATATGGGGGAAACAACTAGAAAAGAGGGCCAGTATCCATGTTGTGGAGAACTGTGGTACTCGGGGAGAAGCAAGCTGATAGGCCCCTGCCCTCTGTGTGCACAGTGACATGCAACTATGGTAACGGTGGCTGCCAGCACACATGCGATGACACAGAGCAGGGTCCCCGGTGCGGCTGCCATGTCAAGTTTGTGCTCCATACCGACGGGAAGACATGCATCGGTGGGTGAGGCCAGGGGAGAACTCGGTCCACCTTGATGGGGGTGGGGCGGAGGCCCTTGGGAACCAACCAGGGGTAGTGGGGGAGCACATGGGGCCCAGGTGCTGGGACAGAGGGACTGGCGAGGGAGTTAAAGACCCAGACAATGCCAGGTCTAGTGAAGGACAACTCTAAGAGTGACTGAAGGGCTCACCTGACCCTCTTCCTCTCCCCAACCCACTGGTTCCGCTGCCCTGCCCAGGATCCTCACCGTCCTCTTTGTCCCAGGACAAGGTATTGCCGACAGAATAATTAGCAAGGGTGCTTGCTGACCAAGGCTGTGGTCGAGAAGAGGGGGGAGAGCTGGGGCAACGCAGCCAATGAGGCCTGACCAGAGGCCCGGTTGACTAGTGTGGACAGGAGGGGAGCTGTCATGGCTCACTGTCCCACTCTGGAACTGAGCATGGGACAGAGCGCTCTTTCCTGGAACAACCATCCCTGAACTGCCAAATGGAGTTTCCTGGCTCCAGGTATCTTTTTCCTCTGGATCCTTTCTCTCCTCACGCTCCTCCTGCAATTCCCCTTTCCACTCCCCTCACCCTAGACCCCGCTTCCTTCTCTCTCCTCCAGATCCCAGTGTACCCTTCTCAGCTCCACCTCCAGCCCCCTCTCTTCCTTGTCAGCTCCAGCCTTCCATCTCTCTCGCCCTGGTCTGGGGCCCTCTTAATACCTGGCTCCCTCTTCCTGACTTCCTAGGCCTTACCGCATATATCTTTAGGTGCCCTAGGTGAGTTTAATTCCTTAATTCCTTCAAGTTAATTCCTAATTCCCTAAGTCTTTAGGTCTTCAGTGCTGAGAAGGATGGTGGGACAAAGTGTCCCTTGGAGAAGTGGAAAATGAAAGGGAAGAACTCTGGCTGGGGGAGAGTCTGTGTCTTGAGCCTGGCAGGGGCGAGCTTGCTCTGCAGGCGTTGGTGTTTACGGATGGCCATCCGTTTGGTGGGCCGCAGCATGCTGGGGATGGGCAGGGGTGAACCCAGTCACTCTGTGTGAAGTCGTGTATATCAGAGACATGACATTCGGCTGAAGAACCAGACTCTCCCCACCCCGCTCCACAGGCCTGCTGCCTTCACTGCAGACACCAGAGCAGGGGAGCAGATGATGCTCTCGCAGGGGTCCCTCAGGCACCCGCTCCGGAGACTTGCACACACAGTTCTGAAGTGCTTCTGTAATTAAAATCTCTCCTGCTATGTGTTTCCCTCTGAATTAACTCTTCAAAGACCCTAGAACATTTTTCGGTCTTCACGTTGCCTTCTCCTAGCTGGTGTGTTTTATTAATAGTTCCTTTCATTTTCTCCTCATAGGTCTAATTCTTTTGTTTTCCAAACATCCTACCACCCCCTGGACACATTCACACATCCCCAGAGTCTCCCAAAAGAAATTGCATGGAGTCCCCGAAGAAAATATGCATGAATCAGGACAAAGCTCCGGGCCCATGGATGCGAGGGTCTGATCCCTCTCGAACGTGGCCGCTTCTGAAAACACCCCTATTGAGCTTGAGCTCTTGTCTAAGCCAAGACCCATTCCGTCGTCTGGGCCATAGCCAAGTGAGGCAGTAGAGAGCAAATGAGGCTGTTCTGGGGTTTACAGCTGTTCTTTCCTAGTTCCCCTTCCTCTTCTCTAATAGAACTTATTTTACCCTGCCCTGCCATTACCCTGCCATTTTTCTTGCCAGCCCCAGTAGGAGGAAAAGTCATCGTTTGGAGCTATCAGGACATTCAGATGTAGTGGGGAGAATGAGAGGGCAGTACAGTTAAGCAGAAAGGGAGAGCACCCTTTGGAATTTGGGATTCGGCAGTTTGTAAGACTTGAGGTTGCACCCCAGCTTTGCCTTGGGCATGCTGTGTCGTATTGTGTGCCCCTCTATGAGACTGTTTTTCAGTTTTTCAGTCACTTGGTGGGAGCCTGGCTTCTTTGAGTGTACCAGGGAGGACAAGGCTGAGGAGTGAAGTTGTTGTAAGGGTCTCAGGGGCCATCATCTGGGGCTAGTGGTTTGCGCTTATAGGGTGGAGGAGGGGGTGGGGAGGGTTCTAAGGCCCAGCGGGCCACAGTGGCTCCTGCCCAGCATCTAAACGGTTTTTTTACAATGTCAAACAGGGGAAAGGCGGCTAGAGCAGCACATCCCCACTCAGGCCGTTTCTAATGGTAAATATGTCTGCTCTCTCCGCTTGCTCTCACTGGCTTGCTAGGGGAAGGGCTAACCCGCTGGGGCTCCCACTAACCGCATGCCCATTGGGCCCAGTCAACAGGGCCCCCTGGCAGCCTGGGCACTGGGCCCATCAGGTGACAGGAAACCTGAGTCCCCAAGAGCTGGCCTGGGAGCCTTCATGTTGGTTTTGTCTTTCTTTGTTCCTGTCACTCTCCTCTCCTTCCTCTTCTGCTCCCTCCTCCCACCCCTGCCTTCTAACACCCCACCCCCTTCCCAGCCATCTGCCCCCCACCCTTTCTCTGCATAGTTAGAGACCCAGCCAGCTCCACCTTCCCCATGATGCCGCCCACCGTGCACCGGAGATAGGGTTAGCTACCATCCCCTCCCTGAGGCTTCTTTCTTGGATTCTGACCCACGTCAGTTCACAGTCCCAGCATCACTCACCATTCTCTCCCCCATAATGGTTATGAGCATGGCATTTGCATTCAGACAGACCCGAGTTTGAATCCTGGCTCTGCCACTTTCTAACTGTATGACCTCAGGTGAGCTGCTTTCCTCTCTGATCCTCGTTTACTCTTCCGGAAAATAAGGAGAATGACAGTCTTTCCTTAGGGTTGCTGTGATGACTGAGATAGTGCATGTAGAGTATGTATCTAGTAGGCGCCTGGCACAGGGTTGAGCACAGAGTAACTTGTGGTTTTAATACTGCAACCTGGAGAGCAAAGGGGTCAGGCTGTGCCTCCCTGCTGCCCCACCCTGCTCTGGAGAATGCTGTCCTGCAACGGCGGGCCGCTGCGCCCAGCTTCCTGTGCAGCCTGGGATGGACACTGTGCCAGCTCTGCTGCTTCCGATCCTGGATCCTTCAGAAGCCACCTAGACTTGGCACAGGATCTCTGTTCCCTTCTCCCTACTCCAAGGCTCAGTGGACCTCTTCTCGTGCCAAGAGCACTCTTAGCGGGGAAGGCTAGGCTTGGAGCCTAAACTCAAGGTTTCCTCCTACGTTCCTCCATGCTCTTGGGGAACCTCAGGGGAGACTAAGGTAGGAATCACACCGAAGAGATCCCACTCAGGTTGGGCTGCTCCCAAACCTGGGCATTAAAGGGACCAGGCCACGGCCAGAGACCCACAGGCAGAGGTGGGCTTCTGGAGCCCTGGCCTTGCTGCTTTCGTTGGTGACACGGGTTGGGCCCGAATGTTCGGAGTCAAGAGATTCAAGAAGATGACAGAGCTGACCAGTACTCTCCTCATTCAGTTCCCCCGATTCTGAGAACTACTCTCCTCTTTTCCCTAGCAGAGGCCTTCGGCTCCTCTCTTTCTAACGGGAGAATTCTAGGCCCTCCAGAGGACCATCCACACCTCCTCGGTCCCTGGGTCAGGGCCTTTCGCTATTTGAGCTAATGGTTTTTCCTTGGACTCACCTGATTTTCCCAGGCTGCTGTTTAAACCTATTTTTCTCCTGCTCTGAATCTAGAAAATAGAGTGACCCACCCATTCTCCCTCAACTCTGACCTTCCAGTGAAGGGAAAATTTAGCAGTCAAGAGGGAGCAACAGAAAAGACTTAGCAGAAATAAGGATTCGAGTTTTGACTACCTCTAAGGTTCTCTCTTCCACCTACCTTTTTATCCCCTTCCTTCTCTGGATTCTTCTCCTTTTGCCCCCTCCCCTCACCTATATAATATCTTCCCATTAGCAAAGTAAAACAACAAAACAGCCAGCTTATCGCCATCTGGAACCGAAAAGGAGGGTTTGGGAACAGTTGAAGGTAGCTTAACCCAGTGCGTGCTGTCTCCTCTGAGGATGAGCAGTTAGGCCTGGAACTGAGATCTTTCTTAAGATAGCTGGGCAGGCAGGCAGGGGAAGATAAATGGATGAGCATCCCTCAGCTGTCTTAGCAATGGCCAGGCTCATTCTTCTTCCCAACCTACCCACAGTACAGTTGTCCCACCACGACCCCCCCCACCCACCAGAGATGGTCCGTGGAAAGAGGAGGAAACTCCTGTCTGTCCCTTCTGGTTCCCTGGCAGCCAGAACCACCCTCACTTAGCTCCCATCCCTCCCTGCTCCCCCCTGCCTCCTCCACCCCCTCAGCACATTCCTGCCTGACAGCTCTGGCTTGTACCTGCCTCACTGCTGTCCACCTTGTTTCAATCAAGTAGGGGGCAGGGAAGTGGACTGCTTGGCTGCACTTGTGAGGGGATGGGGGTTGGGAGTGACGGGAGGAAGGGGGCTGGGAGCCTCCCTCTACCCAGTGCTCCTTCTGAAACACAGGGAGGCAGCTGAGGCCTTCCCTTGGGCCTCTGTGGTCTCCACTACCCTCCAAGTTTGGGACTCCTCTAGGCCAGTAACCTGGTTACCATCCCCCACCTCCCTCCTGAACAGAGACCTGTGCTGTCAACAACGGGGGCTGTGACAGTAAGTGCCACGATGCAGCGACTGGTGTCCACTGCAGCTGCCCTGTGGGCTTCATGCTGCAGCCAGACAGGAAGACCTGCAAAGGTAAGGACTCTGAGAGGACAGGAGCGTGGAGACCTTTGGTAAGGACTGGCATGCGGACCAGAGAGAGGGTGCCTATTGTGGGGCCACACCTCCTCGACTCCCTTCTTGTAGAGAACCCAGGACATGGCTAAGGGTTGTCTTCTGTCCACCTGTCCCATCTCAGTTCAAGGAGCACAACAGTCCAGCCAGTTCCTTAGTGCCCCTGCGCCTCCCCTGCCTTGGTTCCCAGCTCTCATTCCTAGTCACCCTCTTAGTTAATGAACATGCAATTCACATTTGTCCCTGGGTCTGGAAGGATATTTGAGTACTGACTTTGTGTGTATACAAGGTCACAGGTGTGTTCCATAACCTTCTTAACCCACATTCCTCAGACTTTCCCAGGGGAAAATGATCTCTCCCCTTAGAAAGGCTGTACTGGCCAAAGGAAGAGTAGGCTAGCAGTTAGGAGCACTGATGCTGGAGCCTGGCTACCTGAGTTCAGATCCCAGCTCTGCCTCTTACTAGCTCCGTGATCCTAAGCAAGTTACTTAATGTCCCTGTGCCTCAGTTTCCCCAGTGCTTGCTTCACAGGTGTGTTGTGAGGATTAAATGAGGTATTATGTATAAAGTACTTAGAACAGTGCTTGGTAAATGGTAAACACTCTGCGTTAGCTGTTATTCCAGTATAATTTCCCAAGCTGCCCATTCTATTTCCCCTTCTTTTAATTCGCCAGGTCTGGGGAATGATGGGGGAGAGGGAGGAGGAAAAAGGGAGAGTAGCCATACTGCAAATGTGATTCATCAGGTCTGTGTCCCCTGGTCACAAGGAGTGGGGACTGGAAGGAGGACCGGGCTCCTTCTTTGTGTCTTTTGGCCCAACAGCTGCGAGAGGAGGGGGAGGGCTGGGGCAGCGGGTCAGCCAGCCAGAGTCAGAGGTTTCCTGCTGGGAAGGACTGTTGACAGGTATGCTAAAAGTGAAGTGGAAGGCTGCCCTCCCTGCTCCCTTCCCCCAACTCGGGGTGAGTAGCCTGGGTCCTGTCTGCCACCAGCTTGGGGAACTTGACCTCAGGAAGGAAGCCATTCACCAGCCCCCTTTCCCTTACTAGTGCTGAAAGCTGCCTCAGGCCTGAGCCTCTCCAGACCTCTCCCAGCCCAGCCCCCTGCCTGGCCCCCGTCACTCCCCCATCAGCTCCCCAGCCTCCCTGGCTCTCCAGGAGGTCCTCCCTGCCTGGCCTCTTTCCCAGCTTCTCCTCCCTTTGACTCTCCACCTCTCCTTGGCTCCCCCCTACCCAGGGCTCTTGACAGGGCCCTTGGTGACAGGTGAGGGACAGGAAAGAGAGAACACTGTCCACCAGCCCTCTTGGGAATAGCCATTAGCTGGAGAGTAAGGGGCATGGACTAGCCCTGTAGGTCAAATGCCCACCTGATCCCTGCTTCAGGCAATTCCCTGAGGGGCTGATTCTGGTTCCCATCTGTCCCCTTCTAAGAGGACTCCATCCCAGAAGAGAGGGTATTACTAATGGCCACAGACCCCATGAACACGGAACAAATGGAGACAAGAGAGTGACAGAGGTGTCAGAAAAGGCAGGCCCAGGGCTCTCCTTGATTTTCCCTGTCTCTGTGAGGGAGGGAGGGATCTTGTCTCCTTATTTGTTCTCAGCCTTCAATATCACCTTTTCTTCTGCTTTTTCCTGCTTCTCCAGACATAGACGAGTGCCGCTTGAACAATGGGGGCTGTGACCACATTTGCCGCAACACAGTGGGCAGCTTTGAATGCAGCTGCAAGAAAGGCTATAAGCTGCTCATCAATGAAAGGAACTGCCAAGGTGAGCAGACTTGAGCCAAGGTGAAATCCTTGGGAGATGTTCTTAGGGTGGGAGAGCTTCAAGGAGGCCAGAGGCCCGAAGTGTTAGAAACTCAGTAGACGCTGTGGAGTCTGCAGGCAGCACCGTCCTGCCAACTAGCAAGCAGGACCCCTTCCTCCAGGCGGACCAGCTCCACAGTGAAGCACGCAGCTTGGCACGGAGTGAGGGATGGATTTCACCCCAATTCTTGTCCTTGGCAGAGAGTGATCTGCCTAACCACACATGGTGGCCCTGACCCACAGGCAACAGATTCTACAGCTCCTAACTGCAAGGACTCCAAGTGGAGGGAGCACAGGGCTGGGCCATGAGCAGGGACTCTTTCAATTCAAGGCAGAGAGCCAAGGCCCCTCACTTGGGCGCTTCACCTGAGTAACTGTCAGGTGCCCCGAGACAGATTCAGTGGCTCAAATCCTTGCTCTTCCAGATATAGACGAGTGCTCCTTTGATCGAACCTGTGATCACATATGTGTCAACACACCAGGAAGCTTCCAGTGTCTCTGCCATCGTGGCTACCTGCTGTATGGTGTCACCCACTGTGGCGGTAAGCTGGCAAGCTTGCAGCCCCCCAGCCACCCTGTCCCCTCTCAACTCCTCATCCTCCAGTCGAATAAGACCCTGAGTTGGCTTGTGGCTATGGGTAATCCCTGGGTGCATGCATTTATTGTGATGAAATGGGAGGAATTAAGATAGTTTCTGAAGGCCAGTTGGGAGGCTGGGGCATCAAAGAACAGCATCCTGCCTCCAAAATTCCTATCTCCCATCCCCATCACTGTCCCTGGACCCACATCCTCAGCTCCCAAATGATAGTCCTTCTGGTAGGTAGGAGTGGAAGGCTTTAAAAAGCTGGTCAGCGTGACCCCTTCTCAATTATTCCTTTGACTGGGGACGGAGATAAGGGGAGGAGGTCTGAGCTCTCCTCAGGCCAGTAGTCATATTGGGGTACATGGAATGCTTTTTAAACTTTTTTTTTAACTGTAAGAATATTTAACATGAGATCTAGCCTCTTAAATTTTTAAGTGTACACTGCAGTATTGTTAACTATAAGCACAATGTTATACAGTAGATCTCTAGAACTTAGTCATCTTGCATAACACAGGGTACCTGGAACTCTAACAAATGTCCTGCCTACTCCCTGGCTCCTACTCCCTCCCCACCATTGTGCGTCTGTCTCCCTGTCCCTTCCCCTAGATGTGGATGAATGCAGCATCAACCGTGGAGGTTGCCGCTTTGGCTGCATCAACACACCGGGCAGCTACCAGTGTACCTGCCCAGCAGGTCAGGGCCGGCTGCACTGGAACGGCAAAGATTGCACAGGTGGGCAGTGCCCTCTGCTGACCAAAGTTGACACTGCAGTTTCAGGGGGGCAGTTGGGGTCCTGAAAAGCAAAAAGTATCATGCAGGGGGAACATGTGAGGTGGGATGGGGTGGAGAATGTAGCTATTTAATTTAGAGACATGAAGTTTCTAGTAAAAAAAATCCCTTCATCAATCTCCATGGGTACCGTAGTTCTGCATGTAGCTGATTCTCTTTGTCCAGATTACAGGGGGAGGGAGAGGCTGGGAAAGGAATGCACCAGTTTCCTGAGGCCTCTCTCCCCTTCCTAGAGCCAGTGAAGTGTCAGGGAAGTCCTGGGGCCTTGAAAGCCATGCTCAGCTGCAACCGGTCTGGCAAGAAGGACAGCTGTGCCCTGACCTGTCCCTCCCGGGCCCGGTTTTTGCCAGGTACGTGAGAGGAGGGTGCTGGAGGGTTTGGGGGAGAGAGGGAAGGCTGGCTGTTTGGGCAGCTCCTCTGCTCCCCTTAGATCCCTCCAGCCAGGAGGGGCTGGGAGGGCAGGTCAGAGTTGTGACAGACCCCTTCTCTCAGAGTCTGAGAATGGCTTCACAGTAAGCTGTGGCATCCCCAGCCCCAGAGCTGCTCCAGCCCGAGCCGGCCACACCGGGAACAGCACAAACTCCAACCACTGCCATGGTGAGCACCAGCCCCCAAGCCTGTTTCCACCCCACTCTCTTGTATTAATTCCCTATTTTTCTCCATTATTTCCCTGGCCTTCCTTTTTCCTGAGTCCTCCTCTTTGCCTTGTAATTATCCAGCCCTACTGCCTCTCTCTCTGCCCCTAACATCTCATCACCTTGGCTTTTGCAATCCCACTTCCCCAGCCAAGCCCCTGGCCTATTGCCCAGCTTCTCAACACCCTCCACAGCACCCTCCACCCCCATTGGGCCCCCATGCTGTGCTGAGCTTCTACCGTCCCTCTAGAGGCTGCAGTGCTGTCCGTTAAACAGCGAGCCTCCTTCAAGATCAAGGATGCCAAATGCCGTTTGCACCTGCGAAACAAAGGCAAAATGGAAGAGGCCAGCAGAATCCCAGGGCCAGGTCTGGACTGGGGACCCCATTCCCATGGGATGTCTGGCCACCAAACCCTCCCCACCCCTCCGCTCCTCTGCTTAGCAAGATCACTTCCAAAAACACACCAGCACCCTGAACTCTGGACAGAGCAGGGGAAAAAGCAGTCGTAGGCATAGGGCCCAACGAAGTCCACAGGACATTCCCTTCCACCAACTGATTAGTATCCTAGACTAAAAGAGGATTGAGATAGTTGCAGTCAGAGATCTGGTGAGGTCTGCCTGGGTTGGGGTGAATAAGTGAGAACTTTCCATGTCACCAGGGGGTTCCTTGGGGTTGACAAGTCCTCTCCCCCAGGTGGTGCTCCCTGCTCTGACTGCCAGGTCACCTTCATCCACCTCAAGTGTGACTCCTTTCGGAAGGGCAAGGGCCGGCGGGCCCGGACCCCTCCAGGGAAGGAGGTCACCCGGCTCACCCTGGAACTGGAGGCGGAGGTCAGAGCCGAAGAAACCACAGGTAGGACTAGGGCCCTGTTGGGAGTAGGGCCAGAAGGAGAGGGCAGAGGTGGGAAAAACACAGGTCTCAGCAGCAAAAGGGAGGGATAGGGGCAGACCCTGCCTAATGCCAAGGCCGAGAGCTAGTCCCTCTTACCATGCCCCTCCTGCCTCCCAGCCTTGCTCCCCTGCCCTCCTGCTCACAGCCACTCTTTCTTTCTCTTCCTTCTCTGATGCACACTGCCACCCCCCACCAGCTGGCTGTGGGCTGCCCTGCCTCCGACAGCGGATGGAACGACGGCTGAAAGGGTCCCTGAAGATGCTCAGAAAGTCCATCAACCAGGACCGCTTCCTGCTGCGCCTGGCAGGCCTTGATTATGAGCTGGCCCACAAACCAGGCCTGGTAGCTGGGGAGCGAGCAGAGCTTGCGGAGTCCTGCAGGCCCGGGCAGCACCGTGCTGGGGCCAAGTGTGGTAAGGAAGCTTGCTGGGGAGCATGGGAATGGGGAAGGCCTGGGTCGGGCCTGATTCAGAGCAGGACCCTTCATGGCCTCAGTTGCATCTCTTAAATTATGAGGCAGCCAAGACTCTCCTGCCCACCATCCTCCCTTCCCTTGTCCCAGGCTGAAATCTAGAAGGATACCAGGAGGGGCCGGCAACCTTCCTGCACACAGCTTTGACCCCCCATTCCCCATGAGCAGGATTCTGTCTGTTGCCTGACAAAGAGATTCTCCCTGAATCTGAGGGAGTGGGAAGGGGAGTCCCAAGCCTGGGTGGTGGGAAATGGGGGGTGGGTGGCTAGCACGGCCGACTCTCCCTCAGTCAGCTGCCCGCAGGGAACGTATTACCACGGCCAGACGGAGCAGTGTGTGCCATGCCCAGCGGGCACCTTCCAGGAGAGAGAAGGGCAGCTCTCCTGCGACCTTTGCCCTGGGAGTGATGCCCACGGGCCTCTTGGAGCTACCAACGTCACCACGTGTGCAGGTGCCAGGGGAACAAACAATACAGAGTGGGGTAGGGTGGGCACTGGGACACCCATGGCATGGGATTTCCCAAAGGGCAGGCCCAGGCTCCAGGCCACTTAGTCGACATCTTGCTGTCCCCTGAGATTGGGTGACCCGTGGGGATGACTCAGGACCATCCCCATCAGAGTTGGGCCCTTGATTCACTACAGGTCAGTGCCCACCTGGCCAACACTCTGTAGATGGGTTCAAGCCCTGCCAGCCATGCCCACGTGGCACCTACCAAGCTGAAGCAGGACGGACCCTATGCTTTCCATGTGGTGGGGGCCTCACTACCAAGCACGAGGGGGCCATCTCCTTCCAAGACTGTGACACCAAAGGTGAGTGGGCTATTCACCCCATTGGGGATACCCCCATCACAACTTCCAAAAAAAACTCTCCAAGTCCCCAGAGTAGACCTGACTATGTTGTCCCACCATTTCCCCCAAACCATGAAAAGGCCCAGCTGCCTGACCAGCCATACCATCCTGCACCTAGGACCCATCCTGGCCCTCCACCAGTCCCAAGCCTGGGAACTGAGAAATAATTAACAGTCCCACTTACCCCACTGCTTTGAAGAACTAGTGGCACATTCCCCTCCATACCCTAAATGAGTTTCTGTATAGATTTGATACTGTGCTCAGTGTCTGGAAAAAAAGGATTGGCACTATAGCCAACCACTCTGAAAACTTTGTTTTTCCCTGGGCTTAAATTCTGACATGACTGGGAAAGTTTGGGACCCTGGAAGGAACTCTGGTGTTGTCAATCTCCTGATTCTCCATGATGAATGTATCCTGCCCATCCTGTGCCCCAGAATTCCCACCAGCCTGCCATCTTGATTCCTGCCTTTCCCCCTTGCTGCAGTCCAGTGCTCCCCAGGGCACTACTACAACACCAGCATCCATCGCTGTATCCGCTGTGCCATGGGCTCCTATCAGCCTGACTTCCGACAGAACTTCTGCACCCGCTGTCCAGGAAACACAAGCACTGACTTTGATGGCTCCACCAGTGTGGCCCAGTGCAAGAGTAAGTGGCAAGTCAGGCTGTAGAAAAGGGAGTAGAGACATCTGGGAGCAATGGGCATGGAAAGAAGGAGGAGTGGCAAACCAACAGGGAGCAGGGCTGGGGGGTGGATGGGCAGGAAAGTCCCACTCTCCACCTCTCCCCATTCCACTCAGTCTCAAGGTCAGTTTCTAGGCTGGATCCTGTAGCACCCTCTCCCTGGAGACAGGTAATGAGACAGACAGATGAAGTGAGAAGGAAAGGTACTAAAAGGGCAGGAAGGAAGATGGACCCAGAACTTGGAGAACAGATGATGAACTAGGATAGTGGCTGCCCACGTGTCTGACCTCCACTTCAGAACTCTTCAGTTTCCCCAACCCGTTTCCCCACTGACTTACTTTTCTTTCTTGCTGTATCCACCATGGCTCGGCTGCAGATCGTCAGTGTGGTGGGGAGCTGGGTGAGTTTACTGGCTATATCGAGTCCCCCAACTACCCAGGCAACTACCCAGCCGGCGTGGAGTGCATCTGGAACATCAACCCCCCACCCAAGCGCAAGATCCTTATCGTGGTACCTGAGATCTTCCTGCCATCTGAGGACGAGTGTGGGGACGTCCTCGTCATGAGAAAGAACTGTGGGTGGCTGCAGAGCTGGGCCAGGGAAGGGCAGTCCAAATCTGATTAAGAGGGAGAAAGAGAGACTGGTACAGGAAGAATTAGGGCAGGGATCTGTGAGGGCAAAATAGTGAGAGAGGCCTTAGGAAGCAAGAAGCCAACAAAGGAAAATAGCAACGAATAGCACATATTCAGTAGAAAGCAGAGTTAAGAAAGCCGCGATGAGGCTAGAATTCCAACGGGGTTCAATGTGTCCCTTTCCTATCCTAGTATTTCTGCCATTCCATTCACTTAAATGTCAAATTTCTTACACTATGTGAGTGCCTGGATTCAAAGAGAAGTTGTGGAATGAGCCCAGGGGGCAATGGGAAAGGGTGTGGGGTGTGGGGTATGTGTGTGTAGAGGGGGAGCCTTTGTCAGAGTGATTCTTTCCCCTATTCCCCACTCCAGAGCCCTCATCCCAGGAGGGCTTGCACAGCCTGCTCTCCTGACCCCCACTGCTTGCCTCCCCAGCCTCCCCATCCTCCATTACCACTTATGAGACCTGCCAGACCTACGAACGCCCCATCGCCTTCACGGCACGTTCCAGGAAGCTCTGGATCAACTTCAAGACAAGTGAGGCCAACAGCGCTCGTGGCTTCCAGATCCCCTATGTTACCTATGATGGTGAGCAAGGGCAGGAAGCACGGAGGTGGGTGAGAAAGGGGAGGCCCAGAGGTCTTGGGAGGGAGCCAGGAGAGCAGGAGGAGCTCCCACCCCTCACCCCCTCCCCTTGGTTGACTTTGCAGAGGACTATGAGCAGCTGGTAGAAGACATTGTGCGAGATGGCCGGCTCTATGCCTCTGAAAACCACCAGGAGATCTTAAAGGCAAGTGAATATTAACGATAATAATGATAGCCAATATTTAATGAGCATGTAACCCTGTGCAGGCAATATGCTAAGCCCTTACGTGAATATTCTCATTTGATTCACGCAGAAGCTCTATGAAGTAGGTGCTCTCATCATTCCCACTTTATAGATGAGAAAACTGAGGCACAGAGAATTAAAGACTCCCAGTGCTAAAGCTGGGAGCTGATCCCAAGTCCCTCTGACTGCAGTGCCACCTACACTATATTATACCTGGGGGAAAACTTGGAGGAGAAAGGGAAGGTGTAAAGAAATGTCCTCTACCTCTTCCAACAAGAGACAGGGAAAATGAAGTATAGAAAGTTGTTTTTGGCCGGGCGCAGCGGCTCACGCCTGTAATCCTAGCACTCTGGGAGGCCGAGGCGGGTGGATCGCTCAAGGTCAGGAGTTCAAGACCAACCTGAGCAAGAGCGAGACCCCGTCTCTACTAAAATAGAAAGAAATTATCTGGACAACTAAAAAAATATATATATAGAAAAAATTAGCGGGGCATAGTGGCGCATGCCTGTAGTCCCAGCTACTCGGGAGGCTGAGGCAGGAGGATCGCTTGAGCCCAGGAGTTTGAGGTTGCTGTGAGCTAGACTGACGCCACGGCACTCTAGCCAAGGCAACACAGTGAGACTCTGTCTCAAAAAAAAAAAAAAAGTTGCTTTTGCATAAGTCCCTTCCTTCCGTTACCCCCGCCCCACGCCACACTAAGAAGCAGCAGATCCAGCACAGCTTTCTCAGAATCAGTTCATGTATAGACTCCTTTTAAAGGAAAAGAAATATATCTAGTAATGAAGAATGGAAGGATACCCTGGGTTGGTGGATCCCAATTTGAGAAAATCTTATTTAAGAAAATATAGTCCTAGTCATAGAATTATCCTTCATAAATTATCACTGCAAAAAAGTCTGTCTTATGAGTAAAATAATTTTTATATTATCATCAAAAGCCATAATGGCAAAAATCACCTAGAACTCACAGACTCCAAAGGATATCATTTCAGCAATACTTTTCAAACATTTGAAATATCCGAACCCTTATTTCAAATCAAATGTACCGTGGAACTCCAGTGCATAAAGCAGTACAGCTGTTCTGATTAAAGAGGAGTGGGTTGAGAGGCTGGAAGCCCCCTCATCATTTTAAAAATCCACTGATGCAGTGGAAAAGCACCAGCCTAGGAACCAGAAGATTTGAGTTTTTAATGCACAATGCCTGGCACTCAGTAGGCTCTCCACACGTCATGCTGCTGTTGCAGACAGGGTGGTCAGGAAAGGCCTCTGGGGAGAAGAGGCCTGAATGAGGTAAAGGGGCTACCCACTAGAACATCAGGGGAGGAGCATTCCAAGCTGAGGAGCATTCCAAGCTATGGAGCATGGGAGCAGTCTGGCGTGTTCAGGATCCTCAGGAAGGCCAGTGTGGCTCAGCATAGTGAGGAAGAGTGGAGAGGAAAGCAAGGCACAGATCACATTCAGCCTATGGCCATGCAATGGATTCAGCTTTACCCTGGGTGATAAAAGACACCAGAGAAGTGTTTCAAACAGGAAAAAATCAAAAAGTCACGCTGACTGCTGTGGTAGAACAGTCTTTGCAGAGACCAGGGTGGACCCCAGTGAGGACGCTAGTGCAGTGGTCCAAGGGAGAGATGACGGTGGCTTGGACCAGGGTGGTAGCTGCAAAGATGGTGAGAAATGGTCACCATCCAAATATATCCAAATATGGATATAGTTTGAAGATAGAGTCAAGTAGGAGAAAGGGATGGCTCCAAGGAATGGGGCCTGAGCAGCAGAAGAATGGAGCTGCCGTTGACTGAGTTGTGGAACTCTAAAGGAGCAGATGGTGGGGACGGGAATCCAGAGTTTACCTCCGGGTATGTTTAGCGTGAGATACCTGTTAGCCATGAAGAGGGACTGCAGAGTCGCGATGTTCCTCTTTCCCACCCCCACTGCTGAGGCTGACATTGCTGCCTGCCATCCTCTGCAGGACAAGAAGCTCATCAAGGCCTTCTTTGAGGTGCTAGCCCACCCCCAGAACTACTTCAAGTACACAGAGAAACACAAGGAGATGCTGCCAAAATCCTTCATCAAGCTGCTCCGCTCCAAAGTTTCCAGCTTCCTAAGGCCCTACAAATAGTGCCCCTAGGCCCAGAGACCCAGCTTTTGAAACCCTCAGACTTCTTAGCCCTCAGAGCTGGCAGCCCCCTACCCTCAGACAAGGAACTCTCACCTCTCTCTCTGGAGAAAAAAATATCACTACACAGACCAGGCACTCTCCCTTCTGTCTTTCTAGTTTCCTTTCCCTGTCTCTCTCTCTCTTATTTTTTCCCTTTCCTACTTGTTCCCTGGAAAAGCCATTCAGTGCTGGCTCTATTCCCCCTGAGGGGTGAAGGAACAGCACAGCCCCTTCCCTGCCCATTTTACCAGCTCATATGCCTGGGTCCATCAGCTTGGAAGGGTGCTAGAGGCCCATGAAGGAAGTGGGTCTAATGGGGAATGGGGAGCGGGAAGAGGGGCTTCTGCCATTATAGGGTTGTGCCTTGCTAGTCAGGAGCCCGAACGTCCCCTGGCTGTGCTCCCCAGGGTGACTCTAACAGCCCAGAGTCCTGCCAAAGAAGCCTTTGACTTACAGGCTTAATGCCAACACTGGTCCTCTGGGGCACATGATTTGAGCCCTGGATGGCCCACGTAGCTGGCTTTCTTGTCTATAGAGCTCCTCTCTTTCTTCCCCCACATATCTGCCTGGGGTCTACTCCATAGGGTTTACAAGTGGCCCACAACACTGGGCTAGTGGATACTGGCTGAATGAGGAAGAGCAATAGGCATTGCCATGTTGAATGCCCTGCTTTGGCTCCCGGAGAGAAAGACTGTAGCTCTGCAAGACAAAACCCAGGTTTTAAAGCATCACCAAAAAAAAAAAAAAAAACAGAAAGAAAAGAAAATATATCATCTAAAGGACCAGACAGAACAATTGGAAGCTACCTTCAAACACTAATCCCTTTTCTTACATGTCTTCCCTGGCCCAGCTACCCCCTTAGTTCCACGCGAGGGCTCCCTGGGGGAGCACTACTCTCCTTGCCACATGTTGTCCTTAAAGAAGCATGGCTGTTGACCTGAAGCCAACCTGGGCCTCGCCCCACAGTTGTCTTTCCCTTGTAGCCCCAGGTGGCTTGTGGGCTCTACCAAAGAGGACCCCAGTCTATAGCCAGCCTGGAGCCACCTACCTCTGGCCTCAGGCTGTGGGCAGCAAGAGGAATGTGTGTGTACTCGGCGAGCCTCCTGCCCACCCTGTCCACGTCTAATAAGTGCAATCATTTTGAGTCTTTCTATGTTGTCTAGAGGGAGGTTTTTTGTTTTTTGTTTTTGTTTCTTTTTCCTCTATTAGAACAACCCTATTTATAGCTGCCCAAGAGAGAAGAGTGTATGTTTGGAGTGGAAGAAAATCAGTTTTGAATCTCATGAACCTTAAGTGCTGGAGCATCTGATCTGTCTCTATTCCACCAGTGACCACCCAGACTTCTAGAGCCCTTGGTTGGGGTAATCCAGGGTGATAACTCAGAGGCATTTGACATGTAGGAAAGTAATTCTGGGGACTTGATGGAGCAGGAAGGCGAGGGACCTGTGTTTGCTAAACCAATCCTGCTGTCCCTATGCCTCTCTATGGATTCAGCATGGACCTCATGATTGTAGAGGCCAATGGAAATGGTCAGTGATTTTCTACCCCAAGTAGGGAAAACCTCCATCTTTTCCCTGTCTTCATCCTGTTTTTCCCTGGTGTGCACATGGAAGAGGACCAGGACAAACCACCTGGGGATGGGCTGATTCAGGGTCCGAGGCCAGAGACAAGGCTGTAGAAGCCAAGAATAGGACAGTTATCAAGGCGTGAAGTTGGTGAAAGCACCAGATATTTGCCTGACCCTGGCCACTTCCCTCTCAGAGTTGACTTCAAGCCTAGCTTCCTCAAATACTGTTTTTCTAAAGGAAGAATCAAGTCCATGCCCAAGCCCAGAGCCTGTACACATTCTGCCTTTAATCCAATGTGCTGCCTATAAAATTATTTTTCCAATAGCTCCTTCTGGTTCCCTTAAAGCTGTAGTCCTAGTCAATCAAAGGCTACCAATTGACTTCTCAGGTTCATTTCTAGGTGACCGTCCCAGGATACTTCTCTCCCAAGAGACTCAACACTAAAGGAGCCTGACCCCCTCACCCTCTCATCGGTAGTATTCACCAGCCAAAACAGCCTTAGCAGTGGGAAGCCAATGACACAGCTAGACCGCCTGACATCCATTAGCCAATACTATGGCCCTTGGGGGTGGAGTGTCTGGCTGCCTTTGTCTCTCTGGATCAAAGAGAGCCACTGTAGAGATGCAAAATGTGCTTCTAATCAGGGGATATGGTCATTTAGCAGGAGTGTCTGTACTTCCCAGGAAGTACCTGAAAACTGTTTTAATCAACTTTGACCATCCTAATCTCCACCAGAAGCTAGGATAACTTTCTGAGTCCTCTCTCCTTGCCATTTTGCATCTCTCTTGGAAAGCCAGTGAGGGTGCTTCCCAATTTATGGACCCCTTTGGGGTCTGGCTTCTCCTTTCTCCCGGCTTTTCCTATCACACCATACACACACATATAAATACACTTCCTCCAGTCATTTATTCCATGGTTTATGAGACCTGCAAATAAGTTCCACAGTATGGAAAGTTTAGACCACTAGGCTTCTTAACTGATGTCAAGGCAGATCTTGGTGAGCAGGTGAAGACCTGCTGTTGTCCACCAAGTTTAATTTAAGTTATCCAAGTTGGGGGTCAAGAACCCAGGCAAAACTGCTGCTGAACCTATGGAGGAAGCTGGTCCTGGGCATCAAACTAGGAGTTAAATGGACTGAATGAGGAGTTATCACTCAGGGACTCTCTAGGCCTTTACAGGTCAGACAGAAAAGAGGTTTTTACCAGTGGAAGGAAATGGGAAGATGGTGTACGTAGGAACCCTTCATGAAGCAACCCAGAGGCCTCTCCGCAGGATGGGGTGCTTGTGGGGCTACAGTACTATGGAGCCTCATTCATCTGCCCTGATTTGAGTCTGGGAATAGGAAGCCATTTCCCTGAGGGCTCCAGGCACCAAGTGATGTATATCAGAAAGGCACTTACATCCTCAGCAGCATGGCAATTCCTCTTTACTTCTCTGCCTCCCTCTCTCTGTATTATCAGGCTATGCCCATTCCCTAAACCTGAGTGAACTCTCAGAGTCAGAAAAAACTGACCAGATCCTGGACTTGAGCTGCCTGCCCCAGGCCTAGAAATCCCCCAAAGGCTGATACTGAGCTGTGACTGCCCTGACTTCCCCAGGATTTGGTCAGTTTGAGGTGGTAGAGACTCATATTTGTTGCTAAAAGTTCAGTGATGTAGTCCTGGTCTTTGGCCCTAATGAAACATTTATGTCTGAAAAGTGTTCTCCCTATGTATGTTTTATGTGACTCTGGAATGGATAGGAGGTCATATCTCAAAATGCCAGAAAACATAAGAGCATTCAAACTTTCTGTATTTGCTGCTTAACCTCAATATGACAGACAGCCTCAGACAAGGGGAACAAAGTATAACTGACGATAAGCTGAAAGTGTTAACCTGCTAGGTTTCTTTCTTAAGCACAGTAAGAGAAAAGTGGAAGCAAACAGCACAAGGATATCTTTAAATTTGACCTGTCTCAAAGGTAGCAAACCTGTCCTTGGTCCATTATTTGGACTAGGAATCCTTTAAGAAAATATATGGTTATAGAGAATACAACCCCTAGTTCTGTTACCAGCTTATTTAGACAACACAAGTTGTAGGGGTATAGCAGTTTGGACAAACTGAAAACTTTATTCTTCTGTGTGAGTTGAACTGAAATTTCAGAAAATAATCATCACCATGTGGGAGGCTTTTTTTTTTTTTTAAATGCAGAAGAAATCTCAAAATATTGTATTTATATCTGGCTTCCACTGCTGCCAATATAGTAAGCATCCCCTACACAATCAACAATAAACAGCAAACGATGCAGTTCATAGAGTATTTTGCACTTGGGGAAAAATATGTATCTGAACTTGTAAAAAGAAATGTTTGGATTTTGTATTGTCTTTTTATTATTATTAAAATACTAAATGAAACTCCTCGGCCTAGCATGTTTTCCTCTATCTCAATAGCTTATCCTAGAGCCGGAAAAAGCCTTGAGAAGACAAAGTATTTTCTGGCTTCCAGATAAAATTTGGCGATTTATCTTATTCCTAATGATTTTAGAACTTGAAAAGGTTTGTCTCCTCTCCGTCCCTCCCTTTTCTTTTTTTTCCCCCCCAAGAAACAGAGTCTTGCTCTGTCACCCAGGCTGGAGTGCAGTGGCATGATCATAGCTCACTGCAACCTCAAACTTCTGGGCACAAACAATCCTGCTGCCTCAGCCTCCCAAGTAGGCAGGACTACAGGCGTGCACCACCACATCTGGCTAATTTTTTATTTTTTTGGAGAGACGGGGGTCTCAGTCTTGCTCAGGCTGGTCTCAAACTCCTGACCTCAAGCAATCGTCCCTGCTTAACCTCCCAGAGTGCTAGGATTACAGGCATGGACCACCTCACCCAACTTCTTTGTCTATCTTTAAAAACAGTATCAAGAATTATCTTCTGAAGGGGATCTAGGAAGCAGGGGAAATTTATTGTTCCTCGTTAGCACAGTATACCCCACAAAAACTGGCCTGGCCACAGGTAGTTCAATACCTCCCTAATAGGATGTCCCACTTCTAGCAGAGTACCTGCATTGAGGGTCACCCAACGTCATTCTTTTTATGATACACTCTTGGCCACCAAATAATATTCTGAAATACAGATTATTCAGGCACTACCATGCAGTCTCCAATCTCTTATATAAATGAACAGTCCCAGCCAAGGGTAGTGGTGAGAACTTGTAGTCCCAGCTGCTCGAGAGGCTGAGGTGGGAGGCTTGCTTGAGCCCAGGAGTTTGAGACCAGCCTGGGCAACACAGCGAGAACCTTGTCTGTAAAAAACAAAAAAATTAGCCAGATGCAATGGTGTGCGCCTGTAGTCCCAGCTACTTGGGAGGCTGAGGCCAAAGAATCACTTGATCCAGGAGTTCAAGGCTGCAATGCACTTTGATCACATCTGTGAATAGTCACTGCACTCCAGCCTGGGCAACAAGTGAGACTTCATCTCTTAAAAAATAAATAAGTGACCAGTCTCAATTTGTAGGCTCAGAGATGATAGACAGAAATTATTGCAAATATATAACTCTCTGACATGAAGTTTTATTGGATTTAATATCTACATGACATAGCCATTTGAGAGTATGACTTGAAAAACAAGGAAAGATCTACCTGATCAATAAAGATGCTGGATTGGCTTATCAGAATCTTGAACATCCCCCCCTTTAGCATCTATAATGAAGATAGTCGCATTCATTCCATAATTACTGAGTTCCTATTATATGCCAGGCAGCGAGCATCTGGCTGTCATAGCTTGGTAACAACAGCCATGCTCAAGATCCACACTCCTTATGTAACTTTCTCATTATAACTGATCTTCCCATATAGATTTCCCAACAGGAGAGACAATCCAGTCCCCTTGGTGGCTATGAGTATAAATTAATACATTGGCATTCTATTTTATACATTAACTTCCTATGAGTTTGATTTAGTGTGACAAAACATTAACACCTTTGTGTGTACTGACAATATCACACTTCTAGAACTATAAAACTGAGGACCATATCCAGGACTATTGTACTACACCAACTTGGAGACATCCTCTTTGACTTCTCTCTTAACCCTCTTCTATTCCAAGAACACTAAGTCTTCCGTCTGACTTCCTAGGACACTTGCTTTGGTGTCCCAGAATAATGTATAGTCAGGGCCATTGCAGTATGGGTATGCCTATATCAAAAAGTCTTTAAATTGGGGTACATAAAGACTTTCCAAGGAATTCTTTCCAAGGGTATGCGAAGACTTTGTAAGGGATACTCGGGCAAGGAAATCAATCTGAGGAGAGTTGTTTAAAGGAATACATTTCAAGATCCTCAACTTCCATATGAAATCTTTCCTAAAACCATTCTGTTTGAGAGCCAGCTGACATACTCATGTACACTCTCCATTCTACCTCCCCTTTCACCATAGTCCTTTGTCCCTTTTTACAAAAGAAAAGTATATCCCTCAGCTACACCGAATCCTGATGCACGGTCCAGGGTGTAAAATCCTGGAGAGTTGGGAGGGAAGGGTTGTTTTCCACTTCATATCAAAATATTCCCATTGCAATCAGTCCTCCTCTTACTTCATCTTATGAAATGTTTCTTATTTTCTACCTCCTACTAGCAAAAAACGCAATTGTTAGCTGTTCAACCCATTATTTCTTAGCAAATATACCTGTCTTTTTTAAAGACACATAAAAAATTCATATATAACAAGATTATTGGGGTTATTTCTGATTTTTAGACATGATTCTTATTTAATTGTTCTCAAAGACCAAACACCAGAGTTTGATGCAAGCAAGTATACACATTTACCAAGGGAATAACATGCCTTCTATACCATTTCTGAAAACTGATGTATTTAGCTATACATTATACGGCATT